CTCTAAAGATTGAGCAAAACACAGAATTAGAAATGGAATCTGCTTCGCCAAACCGGCAACCGGTGAGGTTCTTTCTACAGCTGCTCTTTTCTATTAAACAAATGGCTTAGTGACTCAGAAAAGCTGTCGAAAATAAAATAATCCCTTTAATCTTAGAACTGACGTAGGAAGTCTGACAGTGATCAAATTCCATACGCAGCATTTACCAAAGCAGAAAATAATGAAAGTTGTAATTTAAAAAAAAAAGGCATGGGGTAGCAGTTAAATACGGAAGAGGATTAGGGCCGCTGGAAAAAAAAAAAAAAAAAAGTTAACTGATTTTTTTTATTTTATTTCAGTATAATATGGGAAAAAAGTCAGAATTCTGACTTTTTCTCAGAATTCTGACTTTTTTTCTCAGAATTCTGACTTTTTTTCTCAGAATTCTGACTTTAATCTCAGAATTCTGACTTTAATCTCAGAATTCTGACTTTATTCTCAGAATTCTAACTTTTTTATTGTCAGAATTCAGTCAGAATTCTGAGAAAAAACTCAGAATTCTGAGACAAAACTAAGAATTCTGAGAATAAAGTCAGAATTCTGAGAAAAAAGTCAGAATTCTGACTTTAATCTCAGAATTCTGACTTTAATCTCAGAATTCTAACTTTTTTCCCATGTTAAACTGAAATAAAATTTAAAAATCAGTTTACTTTTTTTTTTTTTCAGTGGCCCTAATCCTCTTTCGTAGTTAAAGGTATACTATGCAACCGGTGTTGATTTTCCAGCGAGGCTCCCCCCAGAGGGCGAAAGTAAAAGTGCACTGTCGTAAATATGCTCAGCTGTTCTCCTGGTTTCTCCGTCAAGCCAGGCGCGGTTGTTTTGAGATTAGCAGACAGGCGAACGCAACGAATAACTAACACAGTGAAAGTATGAACATGCACACAGAGAGAGAGAAACCATTCCAATGTTACTTACAATCGCATCAGCAGAAACGCGAGGTCCGCGTCAGCCTTGCAGCCTTCTTTTTATTTTAGCTCTCGCCATTCGGAAAAAGCTTGCCCGATGTTCACCCGTGTACGACTCCTCTCTCTGTCCGGAGCCCTTTTCCTCTTTCTTGCCTGCTTCGACATGGGCTTTCACTGTTTTCACGCTGGTTCCGCCATGATAACTGCACAAAGATCGCCACTGCGCAAGCAACGAGCATGCTTTTAACTGGGGGCGTGTAGCAGTTCTCGCCGTAAAGCAAGACCGACTCTCGTGAGACTTCTGAGCCTGTGGGTGCGCGCCAAGGGCTCCTGCAATTGCAAGTGCGGTATTTCCCCCACAGACCACCAGGGCGGCCGAGAATACCTTTGTTCAACCTGAAATGACTCATTTAATCATCCAAAACGTTATGGAACACATTAATTAACTGAAAAATGTTGCATAGTGTGCCTTTAAAGGAAAAGTCCGGTCAACGAGGAAAAATCAATGGATCCTTATCTATACCTAAAACTAATACGTTCATGGTGATTTAAGGAATTTAGCATTAATCAGTAAAAGAAAAAGAAAAACAATCATTTTTATTGCATCTGTGAGTGTGAGAGCGGCCATTTTTGCCCAAATATAGTAACCCCTCCCTCCTGCCATCTTCCAGCAGTGACGTCATGGTGCGGTAAGCCTAGCGCCATTCTCCCCGCTTTACAAGCTAAATCAATGGGAACTACTAGACACATCTGCAATCAACAACAATTATTGAAGATTTCCAGAGGACTTCACCATTGAAATTCACCAGAGCTATAGTGAAACTGAAACAAAAAAGAGTTATTTCACCTTTCTGATTCCTGATCCTCCACGGACGGGTTGGTCGTTGGATCGCCAACTTGAAGAGGGAGGATTTGCCATCGAACTTCCGTCCAGAGAAAAAACCCGTAATATGTAGCCAACATTTGGAAGAAGAATGTTTTCAAGATGACTTGGATAATAGCGCGTTGTGACAAACACCAGATACAGCACTGGGACTTGATCAACAGCCGATACCGCACCGTGACGTCACAAACCAGTAGGTGGCAGTAGTGTTCTTTGACAAACATGGATGCCTCCAGTAAAGCACATTCACATGAAAATTACTCTGAATTAAAAATATTTATTGAACAGTATGTAATAATTTCATATTTAAAGTACTTTCAGAAGTTTGAATATGACCAAACTTTTCCTTTAAAACCCAGGCTAGGATGGAGACTCTAACAAATGTGGTGTTAAGTAAGAGATGATAATAATCTCATGGTTAAAGACAGTTATTATAAAAAGTATGCTTCTCTGCTTTATCTTCAAAAATAATAAATACATTTATTCTGCAGGTCCAGTAAAGCTTGGATAGATTTCAGCTTCTCTCAAGGATCATCACAGTGGATCAGCTGCCTCCATCTTTCACCTTTTTAAATGTGACCACCTCCTTCATTATGAGCATAAATCTTTAGATCAAAGAAAGTCAAAAACACAGGCATCTATGTGTTGGTCTGTCTCTATAGAGATGTTTGTATATAAAAATAAAACATTGTAGATTAAATGCATTTAATGCAAAGTGGGGCATTATGGTAAAGTTTCTAGTGAAAATCAAGTCACTATGGTTGGAAAGTGAAACAGATCCTGTTGGTTTAGGAGAATGAGTTTTATTAGGAGCATAAACCTTAGAAAAAAAATTACTTCTAGTAGAATATACAGAGTTTTTCAGTCAGAACCGGGATTTGGAAATCAAGTTAACACCTTTGTTATAGATGTTGGAGATCGGCCTGTTTTTCAGTGTAGTCCTGTTTCTCTGACTGTGACTAACTGGATGTGCTCTCTTCATCCTCTTACATGGGAGCTGGCTCGGAGCTCGTCTGCCTGGCTGTGTGTTTCCTGGACGGGGCCGCCTTTTACAGTTGCTTTTTCTATGTCTGCTTCTGTCTCCTTGAACTCCAGTGGGCCTCAGCAGATGGCCGCTCACACTGAGCCTGGTTCTGCTGGAGGTTTCTTCCTGTTCAAAGGGAGTTTTTCCTCTCCACTGTTGCTACAAGCATGCTTAGTGTGAGGGATTGCTGAAGAGTCAATGAATCGATGCAATCAACTGATTTTCCTTAGATAGAAAACTTTGAATCAATCTGACTGGATGATGTGGTTGAATTGTAAAGTGCCTTTAGATGAAATGTGTTGCGAATTGGTGCTATAGAAATAAACTGAATTGAAGTTGTGAAGGATGTGAGGTAGGATAGAGTTCCCTCTGCTAAGCAGCCTTACAGTGACACCTAGTGGACGTAGACAAGTATTACACATCGAAGACCTGCTTCACTAGCAGGGTACAAATCTTCATGGTAAATGGTAAATGGCATGTACTTATATAGCGCCTTTATTCAAGTTAGGAGACTTGACCAAAGCGCTTTACACTACATTCATTCACCCATTCACGCACACACTCACACACTGATGGTGGCAAGCTACATTGTAGCCACAGCTGCCCTGGGGCTCACTGACAGAAGCGAGGCTGCCGTACACTGGCGCCACCGGGCCCTCTGACCACCATCAGTAGACAATGCAGGTGAAGTGTCTTGCCCAAGGACACAACGACACTGAATGTCGGAGTCGGGGCTTGAACCGTCAACCCTTCGATTTCAGGGCAAACTCCTACATCCAACGCCACTGTCGCCTCATGTACTGCAGCGTTCTACCAACTTTAGAAATATGTTCTTCAGTTCATGAAGTCTGCAGGTAAAGATTGGTGGAATAACATGACCATAATAACCAGAATTGGTTGATGTCCTTCATCACCCTGCTCTTTTTCCCCTTCTCTCCACTTTGCAGCTCATCATCTTTACCAATCCAGCTTTTTTGATCTTTTGCTGTTGGTAAACTGAACTCTTCCTCATCTATTGTGGAGGCCAGGGGTGGAATTAAGAAATGTGGGGCCCTAGGCAAAGACAGGCATGGGGCCCTCTGAATTGAGAAGAAAACACAGATATTTTAATAGAATACATTATATTATATGTTCTAGGTTGTGTCCCTCTCTTCTTGTCCCTTTTCTTCTTGTTTTCCTCTCTATGTTTTGTACTCAGCTGACTTTTCATGCTGTCTCTAAAGGAATGAAAGATTTTTTCCAAGCACTAAGCTCACTTAGCTAGGCGAAAGTAAATAACCCAGTCCTTCTTTTCACTGTAGACAAGCCATGATCTGCTTCTCTGTTCTCCATTTTTCATTTGGATGAAATAATAGCTGTATGAATCATGACACACTAAGCGTTCTAATGGCATTTTAGCGAAAGGATTTTTATCAAAAACATAATTAATGTGCACACATAAGGAATAGTTGTATAATCTATACATGTAAACAGAGTTTTATGGGGCCCCCAGGAACTTGGGGCCCTAGGCAACTGCCTAGTATTGCCTTATTGTAAACCCAACCCTGGATGGAGGCAATAAGATGTATTTTGGGATGGAAGTTCTCTCCCGCCAGGTTGGGCTTTTCACGTTACCTCCTTTGTTCAGTGAATAGAAAATATTGGAAGCCAAAAGTTTTGCACCTGATCTATTCAGGGGAAATGTGTCTCTCTTGAAGATGTATTTCTTTTCCCAGAAAATATTAAAGCCTATAGCAACGTAACTACAAAGAAAGCTTAGGATAACCTGAGGCTGTATACCTAAAAGCTTTATCAAAAAGGAAAGTTTTAAACCTTATTTTAGAAGTAGACAAGGCATGTGCTTCATGGATTATATTATCAGTGTTGTACGTGCAGAATGTATTTTACTACGTCCAAGTCATCATGGCCCTGGTAAAAAGAACATAATAGTAAAAAAACAAAAAATTAGCAAAAAAACTAAAAAATTTAATAGCTTTTTTTCTAAAACGTAAACTGAGAAATAGAAATAAAATTATGAATATTTTAATATTCTTTCCATCATGACATACAAGTTTTTTCTGGATTTATTCACTAAAGAAAAAAGAAAGCGTGATTATGTTTCCTGACTGGCCAGGTTCTCAGGGGCGTGTTTCACTAATTATCTTCCCCCGGATCAACATTCCGCCCCTCGACAGTTCCATAACATGGCTACTAGCATTTTTTGCTAGGAGCTGTTTGTTTTCGGGATCATGAGTTCTGGAAACTGTGATGGATCTTTGTCAGTGTCTTTACGAAACGTCATAAACTCCATTCAGTGCATCAGAGACCGAGTCAGAGGTAAATATTAAAGTTTATTTATGGCGCAGGAGTGAAAAATAGTAGGCTAATGTGCAGCTAGCCATGAAGGCTGCATGACGAGCTAACTATTCAAGTAAAAACAAGTCCTGTTTGTCTTTATGGTTATTCGTTCTTCTTCCTATTATTGTCATTATTTACTACAAAGCTGGTTTTCTAAATAGATTTTATTGATCTATTCTTAGCAGAAATACTTGAAGACTTGTCACTCATTACATGGCTGGACTATTTTTATTTGAAATAAAAGCGTTGGATTTGCTTTATGTTTATGTGAATTAAGATATTTTAGTGGCCACCAAATAAATTACCGTCAAGGACAATTTAAAAACGGACAACAGGTTTAGATATATGGTTTATTGAAGGTTTAGATATTCAAGGACTACAGGTGTCATCTCAAGGTACTTTACAGTTCACCAATTCATTCAGTTAAACTGATTCAAAGTTTTCTATCTAATAAAAACCAGTTGATTGTATTTACATATTGACTCTAATGCAATCCCTCAAACTAAGCATGCTTGTAGCGACAGTGGAGAGGAAAAACTCCCTTTGAACAGGAAGAAACCTCCAGCAGAACCAGGCTCAGTGTGAGCGGTCATCTGCTGAGGCCCACTGGGGTTCAAGGAGACAGAAGCAGACATAGAAAAAGAAGCATAGATACAAAAGGCAAATGTAAAAGGCGTCCAGGAAACACACAACCAGGCAGACGAGCTCCGAGCCAGCTCCCATGTCAGAGGATGAAGAGAAAACATCCAGTTAGTCACAGTCAGAGAAACAGGACTGCACTGGAAAACAGGCCAAGCTCCAACATCTAGAAACAAAAGTGTTGATGGCAGCAGTACAGCTGATGTTTCACATGACAGCCAGTTAATGCCTCTAAGGTTGTTGTACCAAAAAAAAAAGTGTTTCTTTTACTCTCAGAGTGTTTTTCATGAATTTCTTATAGAAGCAGTTTTGTTATTTTTTTTTATATATTCTGGCAAGTTGGTGTTTGTTGTTATTACATTGAAATTCATTGTTGCCATCAAAATAGAAATAACTTTTTAATGTTGCAAAGGTAATAAGGTCTTGTCTTGGATTCCAACAAGATTTAGATTTTCAAAGTATTTCACTGAGGGCCTATAAAGGGTTAAAATATGAAAACAAAAAGAAATAAATTAATATTTGAAAGCATGTGTCGATAGAAACTAGTTTCTGCTGAGTTCTTCAGAAGCAGAGTGACCGTGTTTGGAGGATGGTCGTTACTGGTTACATCAAGTTTGTCTCTGTTTTGATTTTCCCCACAGATGGAGAATCCAATGAATCAGACGGAGCTTTTAATCTGTCTAACTTCTGGGACACTTTGAGTTGAGTCATCTGAACAAATCTGCCATTTCATTTTCATCCTGCTGGTTTGGTCACCTTTTCCTTTATTCTGCATAAAGGAAAGCATAAGATAACACAAACTATGGTGACATTTATGTAATGATGTTTATCCAGAATACATTTTTTGTTCTGTTTTTTAAGCACATTTTCATTCAGCATAAGCTTATTGTTAAACAATTTAACTACACCTCTACTAACGAATCATCAGTCTCTACAATATACCAATCAACTTTTATATATCAATTTATTGATTGAGTAGAAAATAACTGTGTGTTCCTTTCCCTCAGACCAGGCAGTGAAGGCGGTGTCCCAGGAAGCTACTAAACTCAGCCTGGCCTTCTCTCGGCCCCCCCCGCCATCCGCACAGGTCCGTTTATTGTTGGAAACATGAACAACCAGGTTCCTGATACCCAGTCCTGCAAACAAACATAAAAAGCACAACACACTTCCTCTAGCAACAACTCAAACTCTCCGATGGAGCTAATATTAGTCGTTCTAATCCAGGGGTCGGCAACCCAAACTGTTGAAAGAGCCAATTGGACCAAAAACACACAAAAAAACAAATCAGTCTGGAGCCGCTAAAATGTAAAAGTCTTCTATAAACCTTGTATGGCAGCACGGGTTCTAGGTGTATTAGCTCACTATATAAATGTACTCGGCAGCTTAAAGGAATAGTACACCCAAAACATGATTAGCCTTCATTTTCTACTCACCCCCATGCTGAACAACACTCTGGAGTACTTTTTTGATATCTCAAATGCATCTGGAGATCTGGGAGGCTTCTTGCTGTCTGCTGACATTCAAATAATGGAGGTCTATGGCGCCCGAGACAGAAAGGTCCATAAAAGTCCACAAAAAACGTGTCAATATTCCTCCATACTGCTCGTCCAATGTATTCCAAGTGTCCTGAGTGGGTAGCGTCCAGAATTTACTCGAAACGAAGTCATTTAGAATGTTTTTAGAGCATAAACAGTAGTGTATAGGATTTCCTGAAAGCGCGTTCACGAGTCTACGGAAACCGCGGCACACCAAACCAGATGAAAGTGCGCATTCAGCGTCTGCTCTGCCGATAATGCAAGCGTAGAAGAAGAAATGTGCTGTTTACCTGTGCAAAGAAAGAAACAACGAAAGAAAAATGTCTGAGGACTTCAGTGTTGAGGAAGAGCATGAGTTCTTTGCCGAGCTGAATGCGCACTTTCGTCTGGTTTGGTCTGCCGCGGTTTCCGTAGACTCGTGAACGTGATCCATGGTCAGACAGACACCCGCCGCTTTGTTTGCCTGGCGCCGCGCCGCGCTGAAACATGTGTTGTAGGCTACAACCACGGATCTCTATGGCTACAACGCAAATTTTCGTTGCAAGAAATGTTTACATTTATTATTTAGAATGTTTCCAGCATTAGAAAACACAATGAATGAATGTCTGAACTCCTGAACACCATCTTTAAATTAAGCAAACAAAAAAAAAATTTTTTTTATAATTTTTGAAAAAGCTCCATGGAGCCCTAAGGGGGGCGGTAAGCAGCCGCATGTGGCAACGGCTTCAGCAGCACGTTTAGCATCTAAACGTTCTGTGAAAACCTCATGATTGTTTCTGTCCTGAACTGGATTGAAGTTTTTTATGTGTTGCAGGATGGAGAAAAGCTTTTAGAGTCTCTGTTGAAGAGCACCCTGACGCTGTCCACCATATTCTACTGGCTACCCAAGAGCCAAGGTGACTCCTAAACCCAAGATAATCTGACTCATTCTAGCGCAGTACAGTCAATCTGAGTGATGGAGGTGGACTTCTCTCTGTCTCTCAGGTGTGACGCTGCGGCGACGGGTCAGAGACGCCACTGTGGAGGTGCTGGAGGGCGTCACGCAGCTTCTGGAGGTCCTACTCAGCTCACCACTGCCAAGGTGCTCACCTCGCTCTCACAGACAATGGGGGGTTAAAGGAATAGTACACCCAAAACATGATTAGCCTTCATTTTCTACTCACCCCCATGCTGAACAACACTCTGGAGTACTTTTTTGATATCTCAAATGCATCTGGAGATCTGGGAGGCTTCTTGCTGTCTGCTGACATTCAAATAATGGAGGTCTATGGCGCTCGAGGCAGAAAGGTCCATAAAAGTCCACAAAAAACGTGTCAATATTCCTCCATACTGCTCGTCCAATGTATTCCAAGTGTCCTGAGTGAGTAGCATCCAGAATTTACTCGAAACAAAGTCATTTAGAATGTTTTTAGAGCATAAACAGTAGTGTATAGGATTTCCTAAAAGCGCGTTCACGAGTCTACGGAAACCGCGGCAGACCAAACCAGATGAAAGTGCGCATTCAGCGTCTGCTCTGCCGGTAATGCAAGCGTAGAAGAAGAAATGTGCTGTTTACCTGTGCAAAGAAAGAAACAACGAAAGAAAAATGTCTGAGGACTTCAGTGTTGAGGAAGAGCATGAGTTCTTTGCCGAGCTGAATGCGCACTTTCATCTGGTTTGGTCTGCCGCGGTTTCCGTAGACTCGTGAACGCGCTTTTAGGAAATCCTATACACTACTGTTTATGCTCTAAAAACATTCTAAATTACTTTGTTTCGAGTAAATTCTGGACGCTACCCACTCAGGACACTTGGAATACATTGGACGAGCAGTATGGAGGAATATTGACACGTTTTTTGTGGACTTTTATGGACCTTTCTGCCTCGGGCGCCATAGACCTTCATTATTTGAATGTCAGCAGACAGCAAGAAGCGTTCCAGATCTCCAGATGCATTTGAGATATCAAAAAAGTACTCCAGAGTGTTGTTCAGCATGGGGGTAAGTAGAAAATGAAGGCTAATCATGTTTTGGGTGTACTATTCCTTTAAAGCAGCTCCATCTGCTCTGCTCTTGGCAGCTGTTTAGTGAGGAAGGCTGTTTGCATCATTTTCTTTCTGCTGGATTCATGAAGCAGATTTCTCTGAATGAACACGTCCAGCAGGTCGGAGGAACTATGATTCGTATTGGCGCCTGAAGCCTGGTTTATGCTTTTGGCCCCGATACCTGGCTGTGCAGTATTGGCCGATACCATCTGTTTGAAATTGATGTGTGTATATTTGAAGAACTGCATACTACTTGGATGTAAAATAATTTCCATCATGGCTTTGTCAAGCTGCTGCCTACCTTTGTGAAGCAGGAAAAAAAAAATTAATACAAAGAGAATCCAGTAGAACTTTTTATTGCCTACCTGGAATGGGTGACAACAGTTGAAGAAAGTTGTGGCTCTTTAAATGGTATCAGTGTTTGTTGGTACTCGCTGATACCGATATGATCGTTTTAGTGCTGGATCGAGGCCCCGTCGATGCTGGTATCTGTATCGATGCAACACTAATTTTAAATCATGATATTAAAATAATAAGTACTGTAAAAACAGTAAATAAACTAAGAAGCAATTTGCAACTAACCTTAATTCAGATAAGTTGAGTGATAAATGAGTGGAAAAGGATGACATAACAAGAAATTTAAAATAAAAACGGAACAGCTGAAACGTTGATATTCCTTTTAGGCTGCTCCAAAATTCTTAATTATTTCAATGATAAACAGCAAAAGATGAGACATTTTTTTTAGCAGATGCATCATGTTGACACAATCCCAGATTGTCTGGGATGCAGTATGTATATATATATATATATATATATATATGTATGTACAATTATTCAATGTCAATAAAACTTCTCTCTGCAGCCTGAGCCGGGAACAGCTGACATCCACTGGAGGAGTTTGGTCTGCCTGTGATCAGTTCGATCAGTTACCGAAAGGTAAGATGAAACTAAAGACTAACCTCAGCTTCCAATTAACACAGGATCCATCTTTAGTATTTAGATTATGTTGACTGAACATTCCCTCAATGCAAACCGGATCTAAAGATAAGTAGACATTTCTTTAAAGGTGCAGTAGGAGAAATGCCAAAATCTGCTGGCAAAACATGTTCGCTTTTATTATCCTTGTACCTGCGGTTTGGATTACGTACATGAAAAAAAACGCCTTCCATCCAGAGGCTGCTGTTGAACGGGATTCCTTTAATGGCAGAGCTCCGCCGGTGTACAGGGGTCTGAGCGGCTCCGACAGAAATAATAATTGAAGGCAGGATGGTAATCTGGATGAACTGATTGCACAAAAGATGGACTTTCTCACTTAAAAATAGATTCAAACTACTTTTTACCCGCTCAGGGTTCCCGCGGGTCCTTAAAAAGTCTTAAAAGGCATTGAATTCAAAAAAATAAAACTAAGGCCTTAATTGGTATTAAAATGTCTTAAATCAGTCTTTTGTAGGTCTTATTTTTTAAAACATCATAAATAGGATTATTTTTATTACGATTTATTTTAGGGATGCACGATATAATCGGCCCCCTATCGGTATCGGCCTTAAAACTGAATATCGGACATCGGCCACCCCACCGATATTTAACCCGATATTTGATCAGCTTCTGAGTTTCTAAAGTCTAAAAAAAATAAATAAAAATACTACTACTTCTTCTTCCTCAAAAACTTCTTTTTTACAGACTTAAAAACTTCTAAAGACGAGGGAAAAAATATTGATAGATTAAAATATCCCAATATCTTCATATACTGATATATTGCCATTTAAAAACACCATATCAATCTCTTTTACTAATGAAATATTGCTATATGTCATCGTTATGCTACGAAATCCCCCGAAAATTTACCAAATGTTGCCATATTTTTATATGTTGATATATTGACGCGGTATCGATCTATTTTACTAACAAAATCTCACAAGAATTTGCAAAATATCACGAGAGTTTGTAACAGAACGATGAAATTTCACCAGATTTTGAAAGTAAAATAGATCGATACCGCGTTTTTAAAAATCTACTTGATATCAGCATATGAAAATATATTTGAGTTTATTATTTTTCAAAGTGTCAGAAATGGATAACAAAACTGCTATTTTCAATGACTACTTATTTTTGTCCAGCTTTAACATCGGTATCAATATCGGTTATCGGCTACATGAGTTTTAAAATATCGGCATATCGGATATCGGCCAAAATCCCAATATTGTGCATCCCTAATTTATTTTTGTAATCTAAATAAAACATTAAAGTTGACAATTTTTTTTTTTTTATTATTCTAAAGAAAAAAAAAAAACTGCTCGCCATTATTGGTTCCGTCCCGATAGCGGACATTTGGGAGACTTTTTGTCTGGAAAATATGAGCAAGTGTACATGTAACGAAAATGGTCTCCAGCCAAGAGTTTTCTCCATGGCTAAAACCAGGGAACATACATGAGGCTCAGTGACTTAGCACTGGTTATGTTGTGGCTTTAAAACTGATTAGTTTTGTTCCCTGCTAAAACAAAGTTTGTGAATTCAGTTAAATAATTGTTAAAATATATCTGTCATTTGTGTGTTTTTAGCTTTCTTCCTGTATGGGAAACTTTTCTTGTGTTTCTTGTGAATTTGGTCTTAAATTTTTATTTCAAGTGGCATTAAAAAGTCCTAAAAAGTCTTGAATTTAGCTTTCCTTATGCTGTAGGAACCCTGCCGCTGATCACAGCAAATATAGCTGCTATTGTTAGAGGCAAAGAAAGGATAGAGTAGCTCCACCCAACGCGAATTACACTCACTTTTCCTCCGTGCAGCCAGAGCAGCAAAGATAGGGTGACCAGACATCCTCTTTTTCCCGGACATGTTCTATTTTTCAGACCTAAAAAAATGTCTGGGGGGAATTTGGTCGACTACAGTGCAGCACATAGTCGAAAGAGGGAGCCAGCGGGGGACGGAGCGACTGAACCTGACCCGGTAACGGTAGCCTGGACACCTGCATCTCTGTGCTTCCCCCCGCCTGCTTTACTGGTCCCCAGCTCCCCCCCCCCCCCCAAAAAAAATCCTCCTTTTCAGAAAACCAAATCTGGTCAATCTAGCAAAGATGCTTTAGCCACACATCAGAACTAAACTTGTACAACCATCAAAAATGGAGCAGCACTTAAGGTGGCGGCTTAAAGGAATAGTACACCCAAAACATGATTAGCCTTCATTTTCTACTCACCCCCATGCTGAACAACGCTCTGGAGTACTTTTTTGATATCTCAAATGGATCTGGAGATCTGGGAGGCTTCTTGCTGTCTGCTGACATTCAAATAATGGAGGTCTATGGCGCCCGAGGCAGAAAGGTCCATAAAAGTCCACAAAAAACGTGTCAATATTCCTCCATACTGCTCGTCCAATGTATTCCAAGTGTCCTGAGTGGGTAGCATCCAGAATTTACTCGAAACGAAGTCATTTAGAATGTTTTTAGAGCATAAACAGTAGTGTATAGGATTTCCTGAAAGCGCGTTCACGACGCTACGGAAGCCGGCAGACCAAGCCAGATGAAAGTGCGCATTCAGCGTCTGCTCTGCCGATAATGCAAGCGTAGAAGAAGAAATGTGCTGTTTACCTGTGCAAAGAAAGAAACAACGAAAGAAAAATGTCTGAGGACTTCAGTGTTGAGGAAGAGCATGAGTTCTTTGCCGAGCTGAATGCGCACTTTCATCTGGTTTGGTCTGCCGCGGTTTCCGTAGACTCGTGAACGCGCTTTCAGGAAATCCTATACACTACTGTTTATGCTCTAAAAACATTCTAAATGACTTCGTTTCGAGTAAATTCTGGATGCTACCCACTCAGGACACTTGGAATACATTGGACGAGCAGTATGGAGGAATATTGACACGTTTTTTGTGGACTTTTATGGACCTTTCTGCCTCGGGCGCCATAGACCTCCATTATTTGAATGTCAGCAGACAGCAAGAAGCCTCCCAGATCTCCAGATGCATTTGAGATATCAAAAAAGTACTCCAGAGTGTTGTTCAGCATGGGGGTGAGTAGAAAATGAAGGCTAATCATGTTTTGGGTGTACTATTCCTTTAAGGGAGGGGAATTAAGAGGTTATCAACGAAAAAAAAAAAATATAATAATTCAACGAAACTAAACTAAAATAAACTACTCAAATAAAAAGATGAAAAACCGGTGGTTTAAAAGCATAATCAATAAAATGGTGCAATCATGTCACAATTCAGCCTAGATTTTATGTTTGAGAACCAAAGTTTATCTTAAAGAATTCTAAATGTGTTCAAATTAGCTTTTTTCTTTTACTAATTTAGAGAAATTACAATCGATTCACAAAGCAAATAAATCTAAGAGAGGAATTAAACAATAAACACACGTCAAACAAGGCTTTATTTAATGATTTGCTAAAATTAGAAATCAATAATCTCTAGTTAATTAATTATTAGCTTCATGTCTTTGTTCCCAATGAAATATCCAAGCGGTGGAACTAGTTTAGCTTCTTAAGCTAGGTTTAGTTTTAAAAAAACAAACAATGGATCTAGCAGCTAGCAAACTTGTTTAAAAGGACTTCTTTAGTTATGTGGCAATGGAATAAATGAGCATATCAGAAAATGTGACGCATTAGTGTTTAAACCTTCAGTGAAATAAAGTTTGTTGCAGCTTAAAGGAAAAGTCCGGTCAGCAAGGAGTGACTAATGGATCATCATCTATACCTAAAACTAATATGTTTGTGGGGATTTAATGTATTGTGTCCAGGAGCGGCCATTTTTGCCCTGACATAGTAGCCCCTCCCTCCTGCCATCTTCCAGCAGTGACGTCACGGTGCGGTAAGCCTAGCGCCATCCTCCCCGCTTTACAAGCTAAATCAATGGGAACTACTAGACACATCTGCAATCAACAACAATTATTGAAGATTTCCAGAGGACTTCACCATTGAAATTCACCAGAGCTATAGTGAAACTGACAATGCCCACGTGCATGGCAGCTGGATGCTGGAATACATCGGGTAAAAGTGGAAAAAAGAGTTATTCCACCTTTCTGATTCCTGATCCTCCACGGACGGGTTGGTCGTTGAATCGCCAACTTGAAGAGGGAGGATTTGCCATCGAACTTCTGGCCAGAGAAAAAACCCGTAATATGTAGCCAACATTTGGAAGAAGAATGTTTTCAAGAAGACTTGGATAATAGCGCGTTGTGTAGGGCTGCAACAACGAATCGATAAAATCGATAAAAATAGATTTTTAAAAGCGTTGGCAACGGAATTTTATCATCGATTAGTTGTGTCGCGCGATTAATGCGTCATCCGCGGCCGCCGTCATCACAGGGCTATTTTTATCTCTATGGTTCAGTATTTTCTCAAGTAGCAACTTGAACTGCTATACTTTCCTGTCTTAAAAGGCAGAACTCTTCTAGTCTAAAAAAACCTCATTTGTTGAAATTGTTTGAACCCCTTAGGGGGTTTAAAAAACAAAAATGTCTTTTTTTGCGCTTTATAAAACAAAGTAGCCTATATTTTGTGGATGTACAGCTACATTTCTCATGTAAGTTTGCGTAGTTTTAACTCAAACATTTATTTTTCATATTGCACCAGTACAGTTAATGAGCAACCTGTACTTGTGTGCTTGTTTGTTCTGTCTAAAATGTTTATTTTGGAATAAAGAGGTTAATATAAAAAGTATTTTTTGTCCGATTCATCGATTAATCGAAAAAATAATCGGCCGATTCATCGATTTTTAAAATAATCGTTAGTTGCAGCACTAGCGTTGTGACAAACTCCAGATACAGCACTGGGACTTGATCAACAGCCGATACCGCACCGTGACGTCACAAACCAGTAGGTGGCAGTAGTGTTCTTTGACAAACATGGATGCCTCCAGTAAAGCACATTCACATGAAAATTACTGATCATTTATTGAACAGTATGGAATAAACAGCGGCTCAGACTATGTCAGCATGGGGCACCATGTGGTCACCATTAGCTTCTCGTTGGTTTGCTTTACATCATAATAAACACTTTTTGAAAGCCTAAAAAAAAAGGAAGCCTAAAGAAAAGACCAGACTAGATTAAAATGGCTTTATGTTTGTTTACTGACAGAAAATAAGGGAGCTCTGCTGGTGGTTCTGTCCTCTCAGACTGGAGTTGTAAAGGATGCTATCGAGGAATTGGAGCAGGTAAGCGCTTTGACAGTTTTTGTTTTTTTTTATTATCAGTCGGCCATTTTTGCTCCTACCGGTTGGTAGATATTTGGGGTCGATATTTGTGCTTTTTTATTGTATCGGTATCGGCTGATTCATTCAGTGCTTTAAAATCAGGTGAGGTGAATGAATCGCTGCTCCCTCCATCTGCTCCATTGTTGGTGTTCGGTTTGATTCTCGAACGCTACTGAATTAGTTATCTTTTAATTAGGTAATGGGCGCGTTTCAGAATGGGAAGCACTCTGTAAAACAGGCCATTTGCTGAAAGAACAAGCTACTGACAGATCTCCATTTTATTGGTTTGTTTACATACATATGTACGTAAATCGCATTTATTGTTTTGGCCGTTTACCAATTATTATAAAGGCGCAATAAACTTTTTTTATTTTAAAGGATTCACTAAAAATATTCGTTAAATATTAATGAATAATTGATAAATGAATCAATTATAAATACAATTGATAGCTGCATATCCTATTTATTTATTGTGTTTGTTGTGTTTTGTTTTTGATAAACGTGTAACATTTATTATCTAAACGTGAACGGAGGAAGAGAAAACATGATAGGCTTCAGGAATTGACCCTAAAAGAAAGTAGAAGCTTCTTCCTGGTTAGTTAGACTGACAGAGTAATCTGCGTCGGCCTTGAAGACGTTGATTCGGTGGACTTGTAGTCGCCGTTCTAAAGACACTATTGCTTCAGTAAACTGGATTTCCTGCTCAGTAACTGGGAATATTGGTTCTTTCCTGGGATGTTTTAATGAACACAGGCCCTATCTGAAGCCCAGGACCCGTTCAATGACGTTCTGGACGATGACCAGGATGAAGGCAACCCTCGAGGCAACCGGGACATGTACTGGTCAGAGAGGGACCGGCAGGTGATGGGCCCATGTCAGGGGTTAATGAAGGCAGCCGCAGGATGCCTGAGGAAACTGGCGTCAGCCGTCAAAGCCAATGGTGACTCTGCTGCTCCTCAGAACGTCGCCCAGCTGGATGACCTGGCAGACATGAGCCGGGAGATCAGCCCCAGGTAGGCGCTCTCTGCTCTGCTTTCATGGTTTAATGGTTTGAAATGAAAAAGGAAAAGTAGCAGAGAAAATTAGGACTTTTAACTTAGTGTTTCTTAGCTTTCCTACCACTCTGAAGGTTTTTCTTCAATGCTGCGTTCACACCGGGCCCCTTATAACACTTCCACCTGTGCACATTGAGGTAAAAAAAACATTATTGGAGGAGCTTCCTTGGTCTTTTCCATCGCAGGTCTCTGATGGTCAGTGGCAGATTCTCTTTGAAAAGTGAGAAAATCTTAGACTTAAGATATGCTGGCGAAGGTTCTCAGTCATTCAGGTCATAGTCATTCCAAACAAAAAGGAAAACAATCCACTGGAATTGATATTTTCCATTTGATGTCATCAAATCCGTCCAGGCTTGGACTGGGAAAGATTTTCGGCCCTTCAATTTTCCATCTACGTACTAGGGATGGGACGATTTATGAAAACCGTCCGAACCGTTCGGTTCGACTGTCTCGGTTCGGTTCGGGTGTGTTTCGTTCGGTTCATGCGCTGCTCCTTTTTCTCATAGAGGAAGCGTTTACACTCCAGAGCAGAAGGTGGCGGTACTGCGACCAAAGCCAACCACCAGTAGTAAACAAGAAGATGAAGCAAAGCAGCGTAGCCGGGTGTAGCAGAAAAAAAATCAGGTGTTGTGGAGAATTGTGTCGGAATGGCGAGTGGGAAAGAACAGGAGTTGGAAGACGTGCCAGCAGCACTTTATAGGTCTGCTGTATGGGACCACTTTGCATTTAGAGTGACCTACGATGACGGCGGAAAGAAAGCTGTGGATAAAAGTGCAAAAGTGTGCAAGCATTGTGCAACACGTTTTGTTTATGCTAACAGCAACATGACCAACATGTCATGCTAACCCCGAAATCCCTCACTGCAAAAACGCTCTGAAAATTAGTAAAAATGTCTTTAAACAAGTGTATTTACCTTAAATTTGAGCAGGAAAATAAGATGATCTGCCAATGGAATGAGCATTTTTACCCTTAAAATAAGATAAATTAGATATTATGCACTTGAAGTAAGAGAATATAGTTGTTTTTTTCTTATTTTAAATGGAAACTGTCTTATTCCTTTGGCAAAAAGTCTTAATTACCTGCTCAATTCAAGAAGAAATGCACTTGTTTTAGGAAAAATTTACTTACTTAGATTTACATTTTTTGCAGTGCTCATACTCCGTCAGCGCTCCGCCCCGCTGCGCTCCAGACCGCCTGCACAAAGCAAAGCCTGCAGCCTCCACTGTGGCTCCCGTCCGCTCCGCTCTGAGTTCCTTGGAGATGGTAGAGAGCATGAGCGAGATGATTAAATTCAAAGCAGCAAAACATGCGGAAATGATCCAGGGTTTCCGCGGATCATTTAAAATAATTACAATCCATTATTTTTTGGGGGATTTTTTCATTAATTCCATAAATTTTTATGGGATTTCGGTGTAACAATCAACATGTATCGAATCGAACCGAAAACCGTGACCAGAAACCGTGAATCGAACCGAACCGTGGATTTTGTGAACCGTTCCACCCCTACTACTTATGGACTAGCAGGGTTCCAGATGTCACTAACTCATGTGTCCCGCCCAAATAATGTTCATAAACCAGTCCACCAGCTGCTCCACCTCCTCTCTGTAGTCCAGGTCGTTGTCGTCTCTGATGAGGCCCGCCACCGTGGTGTCGTCTGCAAACTTCCCCATGTGATCGGTGGTGAACCTGGGGACGCAGTCGTGTGTCATCAGTGTGAACAGCAGGGGGCTCAGGACGCAGCCCTGAGGGGAGCCTGTGCTTAGTAGGGATGGGAATCGAAAACCGGTTCCTGTTAAGAACCGGTTCCGTATTTTCCGATTCCATGGCATCGTCTGGCAGCTCGCTGAACGATTCTTTTTTCGATTCCCGCAGCACCAGAACCTAGAGCGCCGGCTCTGGGGAGCACGACTTACGTCACGTTTTTTACGTAAGTTACGCAAGTTGGAAGAACTATTCGAGGAGGAAGACAACGAGCTGCGGTCACTCTGTGAATCAAAGCCCCGTCTTTCCTTAGCCCAGAGGGTAGATCAGGAAATCCAGCTCTATAAAAGCTTGCCCTCCATCCCCTGCAGGGATAGCGCCACACTGTGGTGGTGGAACAAGCAAGATACGCTGCCCTTGCTATCTGGACTGGCTGAAAACTACCTCTGTGTGCAGGCTTCCTCCACCCCATCTGAGAGGGTGTTCTCCACGGCTGGAGACACCATAAGCGCTAAAAGATCCCGTATCCTTCCAGAAAAAGCAGATATGCTCATCTTTCTGCAAAAGAACTGTTAATTTTCCCTACTACTGTTTTATAATTAGTATTTTTTGTGATTTAAAATAGGTTATTATCCCATCATTTGTTATTAGACATTGTTGGTTATTAAGTTTGTTCTTGTATTCATTTTTCATTTAAACACAGATGTTACTCCAGTTTCACATTTCCTGTGGACATCTTGATCTTGTTGAGTTTGTAAGATTGCGCAATAGTTAAGTAAACAAAGTTGATGCTGATAATCAAACTGTTTGTTCTCCTTTTTCCCCCAAATTGGAATCGAAAAACGAATCGATAAAGAATCGAATCGTTTCATAGAATTGAAAAGGGAATCGGAATCGTGAAAATCTTTTCAATTCCCAACCCTAGTGCTTAGACTGATGACATCAGAGGTGTTCTGTCCGACCCGGACTGACTGAGATCTGTTTGGCGTATCAAATATCTCTTCCTCGCTAAAGTGGCTCTCAATTCTCTCCATCTTTTTGGTATACAACCCACATGCATGGTGCATTTGCGTTCCCGCGGAAAAAACGATTTAACCATGCATGGTATTTGCCGATTCTAAAGGCTTAGAGGAGATGCGCCGTAAATTCAACCGACATACCAGGAAGCTACCTGTACCATTGCTTCCAGTGTGTGCGTGTCGCACACTGGATCTCCTCATCCATGGTGTGAATGCAGCATTACTGCTCAGTCCAATGAAGATGCATCTATTCAATTTATTTCTATAGCACCAATTCACAAAACACGTCATCACAAGGCACTTTACAGTTCAACCAGATCATCCATTCAAATTGATTCAAAGTTTTCTATTTAATCTCTTTCTCCCAACGTTGATGTTTTCCTTCTCAGTGTGGATGATCTGGTGCTCTGTCTCTACCCACCCATGGACTACAGCGGAGTAGGAAACAACGTAAGCTGCTGCATTACACTCAGATACATGTGTAAAGAAAAATCCATGTTTGTTATCGTTTGTTGTTAATCTGAACAGTTTAAATTTGTCCTGCTGACTTTCATTCATCCAACAGGAGAAACTTTTCTCTCCATTCTTCGGTTCTCATCCATGTTTATATGATTTTCAGTCTCCAAGACAAAACTTTGCTCGATAACAGGTGGTCTGGAGTTTGTATTTCTCTCTGAATAGCTAACCTCTGTGTTAGCCCAGGGGTCAGAGGTCAAGATAATTTACTGGCTGGTTTCCATTTAATGACTGGAAGTATAATGACAGAATGACGTAAAATCTCTTCTCTGCTAAAGTTTTTAAACTTGAACTGAAAGGAATAGTACACCCAAAACATGATTACCCTTCATTTTCTACTCACCCCTATGCTGAACAACACTCTGGAGTACTTTTTTGATATCTCAAATGCATCTGGAGATCTGGGAGGCTTCTTGCTGTCTGCTGACATTCAAATAATGGAGGTCTATGGTGCCCGAGGCAGAAAGGTCCATAAAAGTCCACAAAAAATGTGTCAATATTCCTCCATACTGCTCGTCCAATGTATTCCAAGTGTCCTGAGTGGGTAGCGTCCAGAATTTACTCGAATCGAAGTCATCTAAAATGTTTTTAGAGCATAAACAGTAGTGTATAGGATTTCCTAAAAGCGCGTTCACGACTCTACGGAAACCGCGGCAGACCAAACCAGATGAAAGTGCGCATTCAGCTTGACAAAGAACTCATGCTCTTCCTCAACACTGAAGTCCTCAGACATTTTTCCTTCGTTGTTTCTTTCTTTGCACAGGTAAACAGCACATTTCTTCTTCTACGCTTGCATTATCGGCAGAGCAGACGCTGAATGCGCACTTTCATCTGGTTTGGTCTGCTGCGGTTTCCGTAGACTCGTGAACGCGCTTTCTGAAAATCCTATACACTACTGTTTATGCTCTAAAAACATTCTAAATGACTTCGTTTCAAGTAAATTTTGGACGCTACCCACTCAGGACACTTGGAATACATTGGACGAGCAGTATGGAGGAATATTGACACGTTTTTTGTGGACTTTTATGGACCTTTCTGCCTCGGGCGCCATAGACCTCCATTATTTGAATGTCAGCAGACAGCAAGAAGCCTCCCAGATCTCCAGATGCATTTGAGATATCAAAAAAGTACTCCAGAGTGTTGTTCAGCATGGGGGTGAGTAGAAAATGAAGGCTAATCATGTTTTGGGTGTACTATTCCTTTAAAGACACTAAAATTATGCCTCACCTCTAGGCTAGAGAGCAGCTCTGATTTAATGTATGGATTTCTTTTATTTCAAAAGGAAGATAAATATCCCATTTTTTTCCATAGGTGTCTAAACTGGCTGCGCTTTTAAAGAAATTTTTGGAAATGATCAGGTAAGAATTATTGATCCTGTCTGTTAAAATCAGGGCTACATCATATCAACCAAAGGAGTGAATGTGATACTTCTGACCGTATTGATTAGGATTAAGGCCGATCTGAGCATTAAACACATCCTCAGCACCGCAGATATGATGCCACTGCAGCTCAGTCCCACGTAGGATGAAACTCTGCTGTGCTTTACATAAAGCTGGGTGCCTGTCAGAGCTGTTTGATGGGCTGGTAGCCTGAGAAGACCTGTTGAACAGTCATTTGACTTCAGGGGAGTTTTTCCTTGGTTCTTGGAAATGTCGGAAACGGCCAATATTCTCAGCATTGCAGCTGAGTATTAAGAGGGTTTCTGCGGTTCATCAAATTATTATTTTCTGAATGAAGGCCTTAATAGGCATTAAAATTTACATTTGTTATGGTGCCATTTTAAAATGCTTTATTTAGAAAACAAAAACATAAAAAATAACAAATTTGTCAGACATATATCAGATATAACTGGTTCTGCGTGTTTTCGAGGAACTGCTTCCGGAGGATCGTAAAGCCATATGTTGTGAAAAGAAGCTTGAGGCGGAGAAAAGGCTAGAGAATGACGAAATGATCATTTCAATAAAAGTGGTTGGAAAAGGAGGAATCTGGGACATATATATACACTCACCGGCCACTTTATTAGGTACCCCATGCTAGTAACGGGTTGAACCCCCTTTTGCCTTCAGAACTGCCTCAATTCTTGGTGGCATAGATTCAACAAGGTGCTGGAAGCATTCCTCAGGGGGTTTGGTCCATATTGACATGATGGCATCACACAGTTGCCGCAGATTTGTCGGCTGCACATCCATGATGCGAATCTCCCGTTCCACCACATCCCAAAGATGCTCTATTGGATTGAGATCTGGTGACTGTGGAGGCCATTTGAGTACAGTGAACTCATTGTCATGTTCAAGAAACCAGTCTGAGATGATTCCAGCTTTATGACATGGCGCATTATCCTGCTGAAAGTAGCCATCAGAAGTTGGGTACATTGTGGTCATAAAGGGATGGACATGGTCAGCAACAATACTCAGGTAGGCTGTGGCGTTGCAACGATGCTCAATTGGTACCAAGGGGCCCAAAGAGTGCCAAGAAAATATTCCCCACACCATGACACCACCACCACCAGCCTGAACCGTTGATACAAGGCAGGATGGATCCATGCTTTCATGTTGTAGACGCCAAATTCTGACCCTACCATCCGAATGTCGCAGCAGAAAATCTTCCAATCTTCTATTGTCCAATTTCCATGAGCTTGTGCAAATTGTAGCCTCAGTTTCCTGTTCTTAGCTGAAAGGAGTGGCACCCGGTGTGGTCTTCTGCTGCTGTAGCCCATCTGCCTCAAAGTTCGACGTACTGTGCGTTCAGAGATGCTCTTCTGCCCACCTTGGTTGTAACGGGTGGTTATTTGAGTCACTGTTGCCCTTCTATCAGCTCCAACCAGTCTGGCCATTCTCCTCTGACCTCTGGCATCAACAAGGCATTTCCGCCCACAGAACTGCTGCTCACTGGATGTTTTTCCTTTTTCGGACCATTCTCTGTAAACCCTAGAGATGGTTGTGCGTGAAAATCCCAGTAGATCAGCAGTTTCTGAAATACTCAGACCAGCCCTTCTGGCACCAACAATCATGCCACGTTCAAAGTCACTCAAATCACCTTTCTTCCCCATACTGATGCTCGCTTTGAACTGCAGGAGATAGTCTTGACCATGTCTACATGCCTAAATGCACTGAGTTGCCGCCATGTGATTGGCTGCTTAGAAATTAAGTGTTAACGAGCAGTTGGACAGGTGTACCTAATAAAGTGGCCGGTGAGTATGTGTGTATATATATATATATATATATAGTTGTACTTGTTGATGGCATTAAAACTATTTCTAAAAGCAATAAGAGCATTAAAAGGCACTCCTGTATAAATCCTGAATTAGTTCTGTTTGTCTTAATAGAACAAATCTTCCATCATAGAATCAGGTTCTAACATTTCTCTGAGAGCACCCAGAACCAGAACCACCTGTTAAGAAGCTCGTACAGGTGTCGCTGCCGCCACTGTAGTTGGATTGCCCTAAAATCAGAGAGCAAATGTTTTAGCGCCTGCTTCAAGTGGCAGGGACGTCTGTCAGAGCATCTCTGTTCAATTAAAATAGCTTCATAAATTTGATTTCATTTCCTTTTTATATTAAAGCCGGGCGTACACTGTACGATATTTTTAAATTTTGCACGCAGCTACAGCTGACACTGTACGACACTGCTCACGTTGTTTGTTCTCACACTCTGCCGCCCAACGCTCTGATGCGATCTACCTGCTCACACTGCATGTCTAAAAAACCACTTCGGACTCAGCTCTGCAGTGAGATGGCGCCACTCGGACTCGCTCATCCGAAAGCCAAATGTGTAGAAGAAGAAGACGGAAGTGTCGATGCCTCCTGTTAAATATGAAGCTCACTGGAGTGAAACACGCTGCCTTGGCAATTTGTTCAATTCTGTGCTGAAAGCCCTAAAAAGAAAAGACGACGACGTATTTGGACAAAGACATGGCTGAGCTAACGAGGCTACTACGGTCTGTCAGTTTGACAGAAAGAACTCCATTTCACTCATTGCCCCCCCGCCATGTTATCTGTGTTTTCATCTGAGAGGAAGACGAAGAATCCTTGTTTGCGCACTGAGCGATTTGCCCACGACCATCTTAAAATGGCCGACTGAATTTCAAACATGCTTACTTTTCTCCCGACCTCACGATTCCTGATGGGGAGGTGGTCGTGAGAGGCTGATCGCTCCTCGTTTCCCCCTGTACCCCACACAACGCACGATCAGGCTTAAAGTCGGCCCAGTCGAAAAAAATTGTCCCGAAAAGAGCAAAAAATTGTACAGTTTACTCCCGGCTTAAAGGAATAGTACACCCAAAACATGATTAGCCTTCATTTTCTACTCACCCCCATGCTGAACAACACCCTGGAGTACTTTTTTGATATCTCAAATGCATCTGGAGATCTGGGAGGCTTCTTGCTGTCTGCTGACATTGAAATAATGGAGGTCTATGGCGCCCGAGGCAGAAAGGTCCATAAAAGTCCACAAAAAACGTGTCAATATTCCTCCATACTGCTCGTCCAATGTATCCCAAGTGTCCTGAGTGGGTAGCATCCAGAATTTACTCGAAACGAAGTCATTTAGAATGTTTTTAGAGCATAAACAGTAGTGTATAGGATTTCCTGAAAGCGCGCGCCTGCGAGTTCACGATGCTACGGAAACCGTGGCAGACCAAACCAGATGAAAGTGCGCATTCAGCTCGGCAAAGAACTCATGCTCTTCCTCAACACTGAAGTCCTCAGACATTTTTCTTTCGTTGTTTCTTTCTTTGCACAGGTAAACAGCACATTTCTTCTTCTACGCTTGCATTATCGGCAGAGCAGACGCTGAATGCGCACTTTCATCTGGTTTGGTCTGCCACGGTTTCCGTAGACTCGTGAACGCGCTTTTAGGAAATCCTATACACTACTGTTTATGCTCTAAAATCATTCTAAATGACTTCGTTTCGAGTAAATTATGGACGCTACCCACTCAGGACACTTGGAATACATTGGACGAGCAGTATGGAGGAATATTGACACGTTTTTTGTGGACTTTTATGGACCTTTCTGCCTCGGGCGCCATAGACCTCCATTATTTGAATGTCAGCAGACAGCAAGAAGCCTCCCAGATCTCCAGATGCATTTGAGATATCAAAAAAGTACTCCAGAGTGTTGTTCAGCATGGGGGTGAGTAGAAAATGAAGGCTAATCATGTTTTGGGTGTACTATTCCTTTCAGTTCCTGTGTTGTATTATTCTTTAGTTTAATATTGAGTGAGAAAATGTTTTGTTCATCGAGTCAGAATTGAATTGATTTGACACAGTTGGTCAGCGCTAGGCTGTGAACGTAGCTTTGTTTTCTGCTCTCCTCTCCAGATCCAGCCACGTGTGCAGAGAATCGGAGCTGACCTGGGTTCAGTTCTTAGAGGGAGCTGTTGACCACAACCTCCAGAAAGCCAATTCACTCATACAGCTGGACAGCTAACGTTGTTCATTCTAAGAAGGGAAGAATTTCACGATGAGACGCATCAGATGACCACATTTACAGGCTTCTTTATTTTTCTTTTAATCGATATTGAATAAAGAACAAATCTGTTTCTTAAATAAAACTAGATATCTACTTTCTTCACTGTGTGTTTTCTTGCTTTATGAGGGAAACAAACTCTTCCATACATTAGGTTAGACGGTTTGTGGACCTGGTGTCATTTAAGCAGCCTCAGTATTCAGTCAAGATGTGGATGAGTTAGATGAGTTTGGATAGATTCTAAGGATAGATTGGTTGTTTTTCCAATCATGTATTTGGTTAAAAGTTATTTTAGTTAGATTAAACAATATAATGATCAAAGTCTGAGCAAGCAACTGGTTAAAGATGTAATGGTTTTTAAGTATTATTACTTTTTGAAGAACTCACCTTGCTAGTGTGGTTAGGGGTAAGAGATGAACTTCCACTCCTGAGGGGGATGGTTCAAGACCCTCCTCAGATTTTAGAAAGTTGTGATAAAGCACAAGTATTTTGGCTTTATTATGCAGACCAATCACTAACAATTTCCAAGGAACTTAAATGGGGGAAAAAATACTAATTTGATATTACCGTACTAACTGTAGTTCTCCACTCCACCAGTAGGTGGTGAGATGTTCACATGCAGCTTCATGAACTGTGGGGATCTTTGAAGGAATTTTGCCAATCAGTTTAATGCCTCATGAGGCTTAATCTCACCATCACTACCAATTGGCTAAGGCCTCCATTCATTGGTCTAAAGCAGGCATTCCCAAACTCGGTCCTCGAGGCCCCCTGTCCTGCAGGTTTTAGAGGTTTCTCTGCTTCAGCACAGCTGGTTATAATGATTGCAGTAGACCAAAAGCCTGTTAATCAGCTTTCAATTAAAATCGGCTGTGCTGGAGCAAGGAAACCTCTGAAACCTGCAGGACAGGGGGCCTTGAGGACCGAGTTTGGGAATACCTGGTCTAAAGAATAGCCAGATCAGCCTTCAGGCCATCACAGCTTCTGCTTTCAAACTTTTAACAACAGCATAAAACTATTGAACCCCACAGAATTAAAGATCAACCTCAGATCCTTTTCAAAGAAAACTGAACATCTGTCCTCTACGGAAGAGGATTAGGGCAACTGAAAAAAAAAAAAGTAAACAGATTTTTAAATTTTATTTCAGTTTAACATGGGGAAAAAAACAGAATTCTGACTTAAATCTCAGAATTTTGAGATTAAAGTCAAAATTCTGACTTTTTTCTCAGAATTCTGAATTTAATCTCATAATTCTGACTTTTTTTCTCAGAATTCTGACTTTTTTTATTGTCAGAATTCAGTCAGAATTATGAGAAAAAAGTCAAAATTATGAGAAAAAAGTCAGAATTATGAGAAAAAAGTCACAATTATGAGAAAAAAGTCAGAATTCTGAGATTAAAGTCAAAATTATGAGAAAAAAGTCAAAATTATGAGAAAAAAGTCAGAATTCTGAGAAAAAAGTCAGAATTCTGAGAAAAAAGTCAGAATTCTGAGATTAAAGTCAGAATTCTGACTTTTTTCCCATACTATACTGAAATAAAACAAAAAAAATCAGTTAACTTTTTTTTTTCTTCCAGTGGCCCTAATCCTCTTCCGTAGTCCTCAGACATATGAGACCAGTAGGTTTCTGCTGAGCAGTTTGATCCACATTGGTACGTATCATTAACTCAGCCTAAATCCACTTTTTTAGCTTAAAAAATTGTTTAAATTGATGTTCATCATATATTTATATATGAAGTACTGACTGAATAAACTGAAGATGTGGAATTTCCTACACATGAATTATTACATTTTAATAAATGTAAAAAATAAGATGAATAGAATAGATAATGTGGAACACTCATAATCACAATGAATAGAAACTGGATACGCTGCCTTCCTGCAGTAGATGTTTGGAATCCAGGAGGGGGATTTACCATTAGGATATACTAGGCAGTTGCCTAGGGTCCCAAGTTCCTGGGGGCCCCGCATAAAACTCTGTTTACATGCATGGTCCTTATTTGTGCACATTTACACATGTTTTTGATTAATTTTTTTCTTCGCTAAAGTGCCACCAGAATACTTATGATAATGTGTTCTATGTTGTTGTGTTCTTTCATTTCAAAAAAGCGTCTAGCGCCAAATCTGCTCCTGCAGACTTTGGTGACATTTAAAGGAAGCGAACTCTGCTCTCCAGAGCGAGTAGATTGGTAACCCCGCCTCCTGCTCTCCTCTATCTTGTCTGCTGTCATGATTCATGCAGCTATTATTTCATCCAAATGAAAAATGGAGAACAGATAAGCAGATCATGGCTTGTCTACAGTGAAAAGAAGGACTGGGTTATTTACTTTGGCCTTTTTGGAAACACAGGAAGGAGCAATCAGCTAAGTGAGCTTAGTGCTTGGAAAAAATCTTTCATTCCTTTAGAGACAGCATGAAAAGTCAGCTGAGTACAAAACATAGAGAGGAAAACAAGAAGAAAAGGGACAAGAAGAGAGGGACACAACCTAGAACAGATCATGGATGTCTATTCTATTAACATTTCTGTATTTGGATAAGTTAATTATTCTTAATCTATGGTTTGTCTTAGATTAGGAATCCTTATCAATTTTACTGCATGATTACAAATAAGCAATAAACAAAAAAACAAATAAAAATGTAAAGTTCTGTAATAAATCAGAACAGATTCTTGAAGGACGCGATCGCATTTTCCTTCTTCTCTGCAACTCCCTGATCTGTCCCTCCTTTGCTGCGTCGTCTTTTCTGAGACCTCGCTTCATATTACCCGAATTTAAACAATGGATCTGGTCAGCTGGTCTCTCAATGGAATTGATCAAATTTTCTCAACTGGAAGACAAGGAAAAGGGAACCCTTCCTGTCCGGCCGGGGATACACCATGGACTCCTGGAAGGCTTGGAAGGTGGTGTGTTTAACAATGTTGTCAGTGGAGGATGTTGAAGATGCAAGGATTTTTGGATTTATGATACTCGGATTTCTCCTGTTTTGATTTGAAAGGATACCTGATGTATCCACAATTAAAGAGGATATCAGCTGCAATTTGGGCACTGATCAGGCTGCCGGCAGCAGCTGACACGCTCACAAAGGCTGTGAACGAGCAAGATCGGGAGCCGTATGCTGGATGCTATTAAATGCAGGCTGGCTGCGGTGGGTGAACTCAAAGGTGAGATGGGATAGTTGATCAAATTAGGCAGAAAAGCTAATTAGAATGGGGAATATTGGATTTGCCATGAGGAGCCTGCAAGTAGATACTCTAAGGCTGATGGAACAATTAGTTATTTTGGATTTGACCTCCCTCGTTATCAAACCTCCCGTGGATGTTATGGCGGACAGGCCCAATACTGCTGCAGCCATAAGAACGCACCAACAGCAGCATTCTGCGGCACACCCACCCCAATGTATGTGATGAACAGCTTGCACTGAAACTAAATTCTCCATTACGATGCAAATTGTACTTGACAATAAAGAAACTGATTGATTGGACACGCAGCCAGGCAGAAAAGCTCAGAAACAGCTCAAAAGTCAGAGGATGAAGAGAGCACATCCAGTTAGTCACAGTCAGAGAAACAGGACTACACTGAAAAACAGGCCGATCTCCAACATCTATAATCAAAGGTGTTGATGACAGCAGTACAGCTGATATTTCTCTCCAGGATGGAGTCACAGCCAAACAGGAACAGACCAGATGAAGCTACTATGAGAAAAAGCAGAGAGCAGAATGTTAGAGATTGAACTAACAGATTCTGCAGAGTGGGAGAATAGAGATAGAATGAAGCAGAATGATGAAAAAGGGGTCCCAGTGCCTATATATATGTATATATGTTTATATATATATGCCTTCAGAATTGGAGAAAGTTACAGAGATGAAATCTGGGTTTTCCTTTTGGAGTCTCAAAAATATCTCAGGTTTAAAGCTGATGATTAAAAAATTCAGGTTTAAATACTCCCCAAACTGAAATAAACGTTAAATATTTAGTTATAGCTTAAATTGATTATGCTTATTTCCTTTTATTTTCACTTATATCAAGTCATAGAGAACAGAAACCTGTTTCAGATTGTTACATGCTCAGTCATGCATAAAAGGATCAGGCTAAACCTGCCTTCTACTTTCATGGTTTAAAGGTAAATTACCCAAAGAAACCAATAATTATTTCCATGGGTGTATATCTTTAATAGGGGTGACTGGTTTTTAATGTATCGACTCTTAAGGTGCATCAGTTTAATGACAAAAAAAGGAAAATGTTCTGAATCAGCAGGAGGACCAACCTGCAAGCAGACGTCACAGTGATGTGTTGCTTGGCAGGCTTTCAGGACATTGGTAATGAGGTTGAAACACGCAATGCTTGGAGGAAATAAATGCGGTCGGGTGTAGTAAGAGTTTTGAAATCTACCTGTGCATCTCTCAGCTTGGTTGAGGGCTCTCTGCAGAGCAAATTTAACTGTTTCTCCAGTTCCAGAGGAAAGATCCCTACAGAGAAAAACAATGCAGCGTGACCGGTCTGCGAACTCCAGCAATTCCACAACAGGTATGGGTTCAAACCTCATCTTTTTTTTCTTCTGTCAGGACTTTAGACTGAGCTGCTGTATGTTGTTGTGAACAGCAGCTGCTGAGAAACCAGCAGCATTTTGCAGCGAGTTTCATTAGAAATCTGCTGCACTTAGAAAAATCAAGCTGTTGCTTTTAGGGAGCATGCTTCCAGCCGCCTGTTTAGCAGTTTGTAGAAAGCTCTCAGCTGTCCATAAAGGGTTACGCCCAAACCTTCTCACACCTTTGCTTCATTTTGTCTCAGCCTGAGAAAAATGCAGAGAAAACTCCAAATGACGGGTTTACAGTGTTAAAGCATTTAGGTATATCCATCCATCCATCCATTTTCAAACACGCTTAATCCCAAGTGGGGTCGCGAGGGTTGCTGGTGCCTATCTCCATCAGTCAATGGGCGAGAGGCGGGGTCCACCCTGGACAGGTCGCCAGTCCATCGCAGGGCAACACAGAGACAAACAATCATTCACGCACATTATTTAGGTATAATTAACGCCAAAAACCTTTTTAATTTTCATCAGAAACTGTAATCTTTTGATCTATTGTTTGGACAAGACAACCAACCAGCTATGAAAAAAGAAAGGCAGTTCCTATGTTCTGTTTTTTCTGCACTTCAGACTCTATTCCAAAAAAGTTTAAAAAACAATCCAGTGGACTTTGTTTCCGAGGGTGAGGACATTTTGCTTCCCATTAAGGAAGTTTTTTCAATTCAAATGTTAGAAATCTTGTTAAGTTGCTTTATACAGTAGCTCAACAAAGCATCGTTTTTTTTTTTTTAGAAAACATGCAAATTGAAACAGACAAACGGGGTCCACCCCTTTGGAGTGGGGGTCGTTTGGCTTCTTTGTAAGCCTGCAATGCCCCATAACTGTCCCTCTCTGAAAGGGGGTTGCTAAAGGGAATTTTTGGCCTGGCTGAATAGGAGGGGTCTTCAACAATTCCCTTTGACGACCCCCCTTTAAGCCTGTCTGTTCTCGTCTGAACGGGTTGCCTGAACAGTCCTTGGACTCCTGGACCTCCGAGCCTTCTGGTTCTGATCTGTTTGCCTGACCTGGCTCGGACATGTTCTCTGGGGCTGCAGCATCAGGGACACTCTGTGAGGCACACGCCAGATCTTGTTGGCAGCCCACTCGCTGGATCTTACCTCATTGTCTGGCGGTAAAAGTTTCCAGTGATAAACGCCCTAGTAGCTGATACCACGGATCCACAGCCCGCTCTCTTTAAATAAACTATTTGAATTATTCAACTATCTGTCTCACCTTGAAAACCGGGCCCTTCTTTTCATGACAATAAATCATCATGACAAGATTAGTTTATTTAATGACAAGATTATCATGACAAGATGAGTTCATTTCTATGGCACAGATTGGTACAAAGTCTATTCAAAGTGATTTACACGAATTAAACAATGAAATAAAAGCAAATAAAGATAAAAACATGATAAAAGCAGGTAGTAAAACTGTTGGAACACAACCTTAAACTAATAATACATCAGTTAACAGTTCAACAACCTCGACAGTCAAAGGCAGGTCTAAACAAATGGGTTATTAAATTTGAGTTCAAAGAAGTCAGGCTTACTCCAGTCTTCTGGGAGTTTGTTCCAGATCTGTGAGGTATAGGAACTAAATGCTGATTCTCCATAGGTTCTGGTTCTGGGTGAACAGAGTAGGCTGGAACTAGACCTGAGTGGTATGAAAATTTGATCCACTGACAACAGATCTGTTATGGATTGAGGTGCCGATCTATTCAGTGATTTCTAGACCAACAGAAGGAGTTTAGAGTTTCTTTTCTGAAGTACAGGGAGCCAGTGTGGGGACTTCAGAACTTTAGTTCTAGAGAACTTTTTGAAGTTTTGGATCAGCTGCAGCTGTCTGATGGATTTTTAAGGAAAATTGACGAAGACACTGATGCAGTGATCAGTTCTACTAATGATAAATACATGAAGGGATTTTTCTAGATCCTGCTTGGACATTAGTTCTTTGATTCCGGAAATGTTTTTCAGGTTATAAAAGGCTGACTTAGTGACTGCCTTTATCTTAAGTTTCAGGTCTGAGTCCATCATGACAATTTTTAAAACACACTCGTCTATAAATTGATGATGGTTCAGTGGGAATAAGAGCTGAGATGTAATTAGGTCGTCGCATTGACCCCGTCACATCTCCCGCATTGGTTCCTCTTCACAGTCTTAGACCGGTCACATTTCTTAACACTCCTTTGTTTTTCTGGATTATCTCATCATCCAAAGAGGATTGAACATTACGAGAATAAAGTCAGAGTATTGAAGGAATAACCACTAAATAACCAGAGTTATAAACCCAGATCAGTTAGCAGTAAAGCAGTCTGCTTCTTTAATCTTTTAATATGGCTTTATTCTTGGTATATTACAACTTTATTTGTGTAACGTCATGATTTTATTTTCATAATATTATGACTTTATTCTGGTAATTTCATAACTTTAATCTTGTGATGTTGAAATATAAATCCCGTAAAAAAACAAAAAGACTTTTATGATGTCAAACGTTTATTTTGGTAAAATCATGACCTTATTCTGGTTTAAAACATTTTATTCTGCTTCTGTTGTGATTTCTCTGACTATATTCCGGTGATGTAATGACTTTATTTATTTATGACTAAATTCTTGTAATTTTACAACTTTAATCTTATAGACCTTATATCAAGACTTCGTTCTCATTCCTTCTTTATCCATAATTTTCAAATTTATTTCCTTTTCCCATTTTGTTTTCACATATAATGTTGAATGTGTTTCTCTAACCATAAATCCTTCATAAAGTCAAAGAATAATAATCCTTTTAGATTTTCTCGGAGCACTGGTTCCTGCAGAATCCATCCATTTTCTATCACTTTTATCCCAAGCGAGGTCACGAGGCGTGCTGGTGCCTATCTCCACCTGTCTAAGGGCAAGAGGCGGGGTCCACCCTGGACAGGTCGCCAGCCCAGGCAAACACAGAGATACACAGGACAAACAACCATTCACACACACAATCACGCCTAACGAGAATTTAGAGAAGCCACTTAACCTAACAGTCATGTTTTTGGACTGTGGGAGGAAGCTGGAGTACCCAGAGAGAGCCCATGCATGCTCAGAGAGAACATGCAAACTTTATGCAGAAATACCCCAGGCTGGGATTCGAACCTGAAACCTTCTTGCGGCAAGGCAGCAGTGCTACCCACTGTGACACTGAGCGCCCTCCTTCAGAATCCTTTCGTACAAATTGTTAAAGAGCACATAGTTTATTTAAACTCAGATGACCCCTAGAAGACAAAGGCGTGTTTTCGCCCTTCCCTCATACGGATACCAAGAATTTGAGAACACACCCAGGAGGTAGTCACAGACCAGCCTGGTGATTTCATGAACTTTCTATGGGAACAAAAACCAACAGAGCCGCTGCTCGAAGCACACATTCAGCTGTGGATGAAGTCATTGCTCAAAGAATAATACACCCTGAAATCCTTCAAAGGTTCTGAGTCATTTTTTCAGAAAGCAAAACAGGCTGGAAACCAAACTGGTCATCAGATGTTCCTCTTAACACATCCATACAGTAGTAGCCATTTCCTTTCCTTTCCTAGTAACACATTTCCCCCACTTTCTATTATGGACCCTTGTCTGGTCATTGGTTGGTCCTTGGCTGGTCATTGGCTGGTCCTTGGCTGGTCCTTGATTAGTCTTGTCTGGCCCTTGATTGGTCCTTGGCTGGTCCTTGTCTGGTCCTTGACTGGCCATTGGCTGGTTCTTGGCTAGCCCTTGGCTGGTCCTTGGCTGGTCACTGAATGGCCCTTGGCTGGTCCTTGGCTAGCCCTTGGCTGGTCCTTGGCTGGTCCCTGAATGGCCCTTGGCTGGTCCTTGGCTAGCCATTGGCTGGCCCTTGGCTGGTCCTTGACTGGTCCTTGGCTAGCCATTGGCTGGTCTTTGAATGACCCTTGGCTGGTCCTTGGCTGTTCCTTGACTGGCCCTTGGCTGGTCCTTGGCTAGCCATTGGCTGGTCCTTGAATGACCCTTGGCTGGTCCTTGGCTGTTCCTTGACTGGCTCTTGGCTGGTCCTTGACTGGTCCTTGGCTAGCCATTGGCTGGTCTTTGAATGACCCTTGGCTGGTCCTTGGCTGTTCCTTGACTGGTCCTTGGCTAGCCATTGGCTGGTCTTTGAATGACCCTTGGCTGGTCCTTGGCTGTTCCTTGACTGGCCCTTGGCTGGTCCTTGGCTAGCCATTGGCTGGTCCTTGAATGACCCTTGGCTGGTCCTTGGCTGTTCCTTGACTGGCTCTTGGCTGGTCCTTGACTGGTCCTTGGCTGGCCCTTGACTGGTCCTTGACTGGCCCTTGGCTGGTCCTTGGCTGGCCCTTGACTGGTCCTTGACTGGTCCTTGGCTGGTCCTTGGATGGTCCTTGACTGGCCCTTGGCTGGTCCTTGAATGGCCCTTGGCTGGTCCTTGACTGGTCCTATTCTTTCTGTCTTGATTTGTGGACATTAAGATCTAAAGAGAAGCGCCATCTCCTGGTCAGAGCCTGTAACTCAGTGAAAGGATGGAGTCAGAGTAAAAACTACGCAAAAGGGGGTCACTACAGTGCCTGGAAGTTGCAGGGGATTTCGTTGGGAGTTGTAGGGAAGTGGGCTGCCATTCGGCTGGCGTTTGACCCGAAAGAGCCATTTTGAATGGCTGCTACTGTATGTTTGGTATTATGAGGATGTCCAGCAAGTTTTACACAAACTGCAGCAGATGTATTTGCTCTAATGTTCACCATCATCAAACTGTCTTTCTCCAACCGCTCTCCTCTCACACCAGTTCAGGCTGCTTTCTCACTGCATGAAAAGTGGGATTTTCGTCAATATGCGGCACTGTAGATTGTCGTGGAACTTCAGGTTAGCGGCAGTTTACGACAATTTGCAGGCTTCGCCGAAAACTCCCGTAAATTGTCAGAAATTGACGTGGACTCTCTTAGGCAGTGTTCCCCCCATGCCTCCCCCCCATG